ACTTAGGATTCGAAATCTGGATTTGGCCTAATCGTCCCGACATTCCACTATGATCTGATCGTGCCACCGTTTAGTTCTAAGCTGAATAGATTGGTCAAGAAAGGAGGGATACATGAATGAACCGATACCACATTTAGATCCTGAGATTATGGAATAATGGTCAATAAATGTTTAAAAGAAATAATAGTCATTATGACAAAATGTACCTTCCTTTTAGGTAACTCAATAAACGGAAACTGTGAAATGAACCAAATAAAGATGAGAGAACCATGGACGCAACACAAATCTTTATTAATTATGCCCACCTTGTTTGAAAAAATAACTCCTATTAAATTGGAAATCTGGAATGATTTAGACTAGCAAAGAACCAGCCGTATATCATATCCATCAAATAAATATTTAAGATTCACTGTATATAAATATTGGTTTTTTTTTTTTTTCAATCTCCCATTTATTGTTATTCTCCTCTTAGGTGAGTTTTGAATCCATATGATGCTCCTAGTTCTTGCCATTAGTGCCATCTTCTCTTATATTACTTGTTGGAATACTAGTTAATATATGGGTAGGTAAGCATTAGCATATGAATCATCTCATTTTATAATTTTTCTGAGTTTAAAATTTTTCTAAGTTTAATAATTGTAGAGGGAGGCATCAATTTTAAAAATTAGTAATAGATATTTCTATATATCTACTAAATCATATATATTCGGATTAACCTCTAATAAATCACATATATGAATTATCTCTTTCAAGTTTGTAAAAAAGAATTATATATATATATATAATGCAAATATATTAAATTAATATCATGTCAATAAAGGGCAGAGGAGGTAAAAAAAAACAAGTACCTGTCCACCATGTTGGCCATTATTAATAACAATTTCAATTTGCATTATTTATTTTCCAAACATAATACCACGTGCTTTTAAGTTTTAATTCGATTGGCTTTCAATGTCAATGGTCAAACAACAAGATGGTAACATCCCTCGTTTATGTGTTTCCTTTCCTTCTTAAAAGAGAAATAGAATTAAATTAACTCCTATAGCTAATGATATTTATTTATGTTGGAACAAATTTGAAACAAGAACCAGAAATGAAAAACTTATTTTTGTTATTCTATACAATTTTGAAAATACTTTTAAAAAAAATATAAACAAGAAACATAAATAGTTGTCAAATGCTCAAATTTCATAATAAAATTGAAAACGATAAACAAGAAACTTAAACATTACCAAACATGATCCTAATTTACATCGATATTTCGACATTTCTATACACATGTATGTATGACATCGACATGAATGGTACATTGACATTTTCATGGAATTGCAAAAAAAAAATCAATAAAATATTAAAATAAATAAATAATATCACTAATATTGACATAATGTTAATATTAATCATTTTTAACTTCCTCAAAATTATTTTTTATAATTTTTTAAATATATTTTTCTAGAAATATCCAACAACATTGACATTTTATCGATATTTAATTTTCATAAAAATTGAGACCTCGATACTTTCATTAACATCAATATTTAAAATCTTGTGGATAACGACATTAAAAATTATCGTTCATTTTTTCATGAATTGATAACATACATACCTACATACACACACGTGTCTTGATAATAATTATAAAAGGAAGATATAGACTACATTAAATTTTAAACAAAGTTAAAGAGAGATTAGGTTAATTTTCTTCATATAGGCCCCTATTATAAATTATAATGTAGACAAACCTCATTTTATGTGTGGTATTATTTAATATATAATAATTAATTTCTCCAATGAAAATGGAAAGTCAAATTAAAATAATTTSTGGATATGACATCCATCCACTTTGAAATATTAGAGTTGTCTTAATGACCATTTAATTCAACTTTAATTGTGTAGATAATGCAAGTTGAAAAGAAACCTAGCTGCTTAATTAATTTTACAATTGTTAATCTTCAATTATTAATTTTAAAATGTCTCGGTTAAATTACAAATTTAGTCCATGAACTTTTAATATTATTTTTTAACAACGAAGTTTTAATATAATGATGTGTTTAATAGATTCTTGAGTGTAATTAATCTTCGAACTTTAAATATTATGATTAATAGGTCTCAAAACTTTCAAATTTGTATGTAACAAGTTCTTGATCTTTTAGACGTTTTCTTTTTAATTATTGGACTTATTAGACATAAAATTGAATTTTATATTTATTATGATCTTGAATTTTCAATTTTGTGTCGTTCATAAATTTTAAAATATGTTTAATACGTCGGGTATTAGATACAAAATAAAAAATTTAGAAACCTATTAAACATTTTTAAAGTTTAGGAATCTATTATACATAAAACTCAAAATTTGAAAACCCTATTAGATACACCTAATATAATTTTTTTACAATCAATGTACTTTACCATTTCAACTACGTTAATTTGTATTAATTAATTATGGAAAATGGCCCATTAATTCAAATGGTCGAGATAAATTAAAATGATTTAGAGAAAATTAGTTCAACCTCTAGGATGGCCACCTACCTCAATTGAGGTGTGTAYAAACTGACCCAAATACTCRTAATATTTACAAAAACATTAATTTATATTATTATGTACCAACCACCTTATGACCATAGAGATTGTAAGCATTAAACTCAAACGTTTTTAATTCTAAAAAAATTTAAAATTATAATATTAAGAATGAAAAATATTATTTTACATTAAATAATTATAATATCAACTTTTTATCTTCTACCAAGTCCTTTCCCTCTTTTCCATACATCTCATTTACATTAAAATATTTAAAGTATTAACCCATCAACGCCTATCTTAATTATCATCCACCACGGCTAAAAAAAAGAAAATTAACATTTCTCTAACAAAATTTTAAAAGTGGTTATCAAAGATGGGTGCTCACCGGTCATCAACTAAATATCGTATGTCACATAGATACAACTCGAACTACTCGTATTTATCACAGAGCTTTTGATTATAATTCCAACACAACTTGTTTGCTGAGACGTTTTGGAAATATTTATATAAAAAATTCTTTCCTCCTCTTAGAAAAATTAAGGGAAAAAAAAATATCATAATTACAGCATCTCAATCACCGGTCATTGTTAGAATCGATTGTTTCTTAACGCAATCTCGGTGGAAATTTGAAATTTTAACATAAATGACAAAACTGCCCCCGTTCCTTTCTAGAAACTCGCTGCTTTTTCCTCATCAATTTGGTGTGTTCTTCCTTTGACTTCGGATCTCGGTGGTTAGTGGTCTGGACAATTTAGTAAAATACAGATTACACCATTAATCCATTTTTATTGTGTTATTTTAATCCAAGTATTTAAGTCAAATTCTTTTAATATAATCTATGATTCGAATTCATAATTTTTTAATAGAAAATAGACGTTTTAATTAGTTGACAATTATTTAAGTCTATGCGACGGTTGGTCGTCAGTGTAAATCAATAATTTATGCAAAATGTAAAAAGAAAAAAAATATTTTTTAAGTAAAATAATAATAATAATAAATAAAGGAAATTTGAACCTCCCACCCAAGGAAAAAAAAAAAGCATAGCTGGTTTTTATGAGTCAAATATTTGTGATTAATGTGGAAGTTGCATCTGTAACTACCAATCCAATTTAATTTACATGCTACATGGATTTAGCTCCAATTTGACATATATGGTTTTAAAAAATTCAATTTAATTTTTATAGTGGCAGCTTTCTATATTATTATTTATTAATTAACTCAAGAACCTGCCCTATCTATTTCTTACTTACTACTATACCCTAATATAGTTAGCTAACATAATCCATTAAAAGACACATCAATTTAGAGCTGCATAAATTTAAATAAAAAATGTGTCACATATTTAATATAGTAATGACTTGTAGTAGTAGAGACGATTCATGATAGAAACAATTTTAAAATTTTAAAATCATAAAAATTAAATTTAAAATATTCAAAATATCAATCAAAAAGAATCGTTGAGTAAATAATACACCTATTGTTTTTTTTAGTAAAAAAATCTATTATTTCTTTTCTAAGATTTAAGATTAATCATCTATCTTCGTAGAACTAAAAAAATCAAAATGGTTATAAAATTATTGCGGATTTTACTATTCATGTCTATGTCTGAAAAATTGTACTTCTTTCTTTATATATGTGTTGGAAAAATGATTAAAAATACTAAAGTCTATTAAATTTGATAGTAAAATACAACGACAACCTCCTAAATTAAAATCAATTCATAACTAGAAACAAAAGGGAAAAAAAAAAAGAAAAGAAAAGAAAAGAGAGGATACATTTGTCATTTTATTGAAGCAATTCTTATATGTTTGTGTGCGTTTGTGGGCCTCTTGAGGATATGGCCATTTGTGGCCTCTTAAATGCTTGAAGCCCGAAATATCATAACGTTAACCCAAAATAAAATAAAAAAAAGATATTTTTTACCGTCAATTTAATAAATGGTCAAAAATATTATAATTGACCGATTGAATTTTAGATGACATTTTATAATATTATCATCCACATTACTGCCAAAATTTCCTTTTAATACGATAYATGGAGGTAGAAATTGGAACTCATGACTTTTTTATTTTRAATTATGGTTGACTATTCAAATGGTTAGTTATATAATTTTACTTTAATCAAAATAGTGGGGTATTTGTACCCTCATTATCTTCTTGTTTATAATATAATATTAAAAGAATAATGATGATATTTATTTTTTAAAGTTCTATTACAATAATGAGAGAGAGTTTCTTAACGTGGATTGGAGGTTAGCATTTTAATCTTTAAAATAGATCAAAGTTAAAACCATAGAGATCCCATCGTGAAAGCAAGATTAAACAAAAATTAGAACTACAAATAATAAAATAATATTTTAATCAAATAAATATTATAAAAGTTAATRAGTATTATTTTARAAAAATTATTATTATTATTATTTTAATCTAAAARCACACARTATTTTAATTCCTCACATAGCACGTGGAAGACGACGTCGTTAGATGTCGGATAACGAGGCCATCTCCACTGCCTGAAACTCAAATTTCAATTGTTGAGGTCGCAAAATAGTGCTTCTCGTCGTTTCTCCGGCAGCTCTCAGGTGAGTTTTCTGACCGTATCCAGCTTCAATTTCTCTCTCTCCGCCATCATAGAAAAATCACTATCAAGGAATTAATCTGCGGTGTTTGACTATATCTCTATTTAGATTCCGATAAATTGTAAAATGCAGCGTGGAAACTATAGAAATTCTTCAACATTTGAGCTCAGATTTTCATTGTTTTAGGCATTTATTGAATAAGTTCGTTTTGCCTCAGTGTTGGATCGTTGTTAATCGTCTGGCTCAGCTTCGTTTAGCGTCTCATCACATTAAACCGCACATGAACTTTGTTTCTCTTGTGTTCCTTACATCGTTAACCAAACTAGGGAGTTCCAGTTCTTTCTGTTTGATGCGATCCCTATTTATCCTACGGGAACAGTTCGTAGGGTAATTCGCCTTCTAATTTTTTGTGTATTTATTGAATTAAGTATAGATGTGTAGCTCCCGGCTTGTGACTGAGTCAATTTCTCCAAGCGATAGCAGCTAGTATTGCATTGAGAAAGAAATAAGTGTTGGTTATTGTATTGAAATTTTTGCTTAATAGTTTGTAAGTACAGGTTCTAAGTTTGATTATTAGCTGAAATCAGTTGAATGATTTTCATTCTTCTTTATATCCGGACCAGAGTGTACAGACCAGCTAACGTACACCTCAACCAAGTTTGGTATTAAATGATGATCGTATTTCTTTTTCTAGTAGTCAAAATCTTAGATGAAGCTGATCATACTTTGCAGATGCAAAGATCTTTTATTGAGAGGTAGAGGAAGAAGGGCACAATTTTCTTCTTTAAGCAAGGAACAGTTCCTACCGTTTGGCAGAAATGGTGCAGGATATGTCAATACACGCTCTGGCAGCCTTGGGAGATCCCAAGGTTTATGGATCAACTCTTCCATGGAGGAAGAATTTCAAGCAGACAAGTAAACCCCAATTAAATTCTACACATTGCTTTCGGCATCAATACTTGCGAAGCTTTTCCTTAACTAGCCAACCCAATAGATTGAGACGAGGAAATTTCAAGTTTAAAGCTGGATGGTTGTTTAAAGGGGGTGGACAAGGGTTGGGTGCTCGCATAGAGCGCAGCGAGAATGCTAACAATGATATTTTAATCTTCTTTTTTCAGCTGGACCTGGCAACACGAGTACAGGTATAGCTGGCTGTTATGCTGGTATCCATTTTCTTCATATAATGATTCCTCATCTTTATTCTGTTTTAGTTTTCACCCAAAAAAAAAAAAAAATCTCATCTTTAACTGAACAAGATTTCCCTGGTGTGGATTATTATTGATTGCAGTACGCATTGAACATCGAGCAGTATGAAATTGCACAGCAATTGAGAACAAAGCTAACCGAGGTCAGGTTTGTTATTTGCTTTACTTAAAATAAAATGACTTATATTCATTACTCGTAAGGACATATATTGTGAAGTGTCTGTTTTACTTGTTAAAGGTTGAAGAAGAAATCATCAAGCAGCAAGAATCAAAAAGTGGATTAACTTCGAAGAGTGAAGTACAAGACAAAGGTTTAAATATCATTCGTCTACGGTAAAGTCCACTCATATTATAAATTTATACCCATTTTAGTATTTAGGATATATCCATCAAATTGATCGTCTATTCTCAATATTTTATTTATGATTGTTTAAACCTCTTTCCTTTTCTTTTGTTCTTGTAATACTTTGGCATATTTAAACTGCTTGATTTCAGGTTTTCATTGCCTTTTCCCATCTTTTATTACAGTGCAGACTTGCAGAATGCTATTGAAAGTGAAAATTATGCTCTGGCTGCACAACTGCGAGATAAAATTTCCAAACTGGAAACTGAGTCTCTAGCTGCGTCTGCAACAGTTCTGGCTTATGAAAATGCTGAATATAGCTTTAGATTGGGACAGAAAGTGAGGCACAAAATTTTTGGTACTATAGTGGCATGCTTTTCATACCAGTGTTTCAACTTTATTTAATTACTTTGAGGTCAAATATGGTAGGTGCGAATATTATTGATACAGAAAAATTTTAGTAAGAGCCATAGATTTTGAATGATCCATCAAACTAAAACATTGAAGTTGCGACAATCTGGGATTTTTAGATGGAAATGCAGAATTACAGAAATATGAGTAATGTAGAATAGAAGTTAGAACGATGAAGAACATTTTATAGGATTTTCCAGGTGGCACATAAATCAAATAAAGGAAATGAAAACTTGTAAAGAAATGGATCCTCCAATATGCAAGGTTGAGCTACAGGTTCATTACGGTTTGTTGGTGTCTCTTTCTAGTACTAAAACATGTCTCCTATCAGGATACAGGGGTGTGGTTTGTGGAATGGATCCTGTGTGCTGTGAATCAAGTTCCTGGATGGAGATAGCACAAGTTGAAAAATTGTCTCGAGGTTCTAATCAGCCATTTTATCAGGTCAGGTTCCATTTACCTCTCCAAAAATATTTACCAATGAAACCCATCAAAAATGTTAACAGACCCTGATTTACTGTCTATCTTCTTTCTCTAATAATTCATCTTCCAGGTTTTAGTGGATGTCCGTACAGAACCTGATTTGCTGGTCGCATATGGTAAATTTTCTATTGCTGCTAATCTTGATGGCCATTGATATTAAATTACATAAAACTTTTTATCTACTTCTATTCTACCGCATGACTTGAGCTCTAAAAAGTGTGTATTGCTGTGAATTTCCTTCTATTCTATGATGCAGTTCCCGAGGAAAATCTTCTTGCTCCTGAAGAACCAGATATGGTGGCCGTCAACTTCCTTCAATTCTATTATTATTTGTATTTTTGTAGGGAGATGGTATTTCAACGAGAAATAGTTAGCTTAGAAATTTGCTTGGATTTACTTGCTGACTGTGATGATGTGCAGGAGAGGTTTGATCATCCTTATAATTCCTTCTTATTCTATGGAGTGGATGCAGCCGGGGATTTCATTCCTATAAAGCAACTACGGGAGAAGTATAATCGGCCTCGACATGAAGTTCCCTCCGATCCTCAAGACGACGAGCAACGCGGTGATGATTGATCGATCGCTTCCATCCAAAGTGGTTTGTTCATCTTGTTTCTTCCCTTTCTCCTTTACCGCTTTTCCTTTCTTTCCTGCCTTTGTGTTGTTAGGTTTCCACATTCTTTGATTTTCAGAAGATTTAAAACTTGATAATCTGAATTATGGTTGTACATGTTATACTTTTACAGTAATTATCAATAGGAACTAATTAAGTATCTTATGATATATGTTCATGTTGTGGTTCAAAGTTCTTGTTTCTTCAACATAGTTCAAATTGGTAATCAAATTACAGTAAGATTTGAGGAAAGGAAAAAAAAAAAATCTTGAAAAAGAAGTGGAATTCACACGTATAGCCCAGTGGAAATGAAAAATTTCTCATCATCTAAAGTAATCAGTCAAATAACTTGCATCTCTGAATGAAGTTGTTGATATGGTGACTGTCATATAGATTGTATGTGAATTAGATTTGTTCATATCTGAATGGTTAAATATTATGGTATCGATCTATTTTTCGACGATTCAATTGATGAACTTCGATTGCTTGAAAATTTAATTTAGAGTGCAAATATTGTWCCTTCGTTACTTTTTTTTTTAAGAAAAAATGTTTCAAGAGTGTTTTTATGGGTTTTGGCTAATTATTATGTCTAGTTTGTTGTTAACTGTTAAGGATCACCATGAATATTTGATTTGAAGAATGGCTACAATCTTTATAAATGAACAACTTGTAACTCATTGATAATCATAAAGTATTCACATGATATTAGCTAAGAGTGAGATYCTCCAAAGGAATTAAATTGATATTAATTTGTATGGTTATGCATTGAGGAAATCTATTATGAAGATGATAGAATTTAAGTGATTAATATCTCTATTAATAACCTATTAAATATATGATATCTTACATGGAGCATGATGTAAGAAAGAATGTATTTTAAATTTAGATAACATAGGTTATTTATTGGTGTGTAGTCTTTGATATGCAWAATCGATGTAAAAAATATATTTTCCAATGTTTCATATAATTAAACAAATATATGTAAACCATTTTTTTTTAGTTGAACCATTTGTGGGGTGTGTATTCAAACCTTTGACTTTTGATCGATGATATATACCTTAATGAGTTGATTTTAATCCATACTTTGGGTTGAAAAAAAATCCATGTGGCTAAATTCATTTAAAAAATTGTAACCATATTTGTCGTGGATTACAATGTACCTAGTATAGTATAAAAAAGGTAATTTCTTTAAATYTCAAGAGTGACATGTTCGGTCTATGAAATTTTAATATATTTTTAATTGGTCTCCAAGTTTGAATTTAGTTTCTAATTGGTTATCGAGAATCTAGTTTCGAGAGTGACTTTACTTATGTTAATTTTTTACATGAGTTTGACAAATTTTATTATTCTTTATTCTTTTTTGTTTAAATGACATTTTCTCGTAAAAAAATTCAAATAGGAAACAAAAGTATATTTTATCCTTATAAAAAATTGCTCGTAAATACATTTGATGGAGTATAAGATATGGTATATGGTTGTATGATTTTTAAGTTAAAAGTTATTTTAATAAATGACTTTTAATGAGTAAAACTCTAGATGAAGATTTGAAATTATAAAAAAGTTGGAGAGAAAAAATGATGGTCAATAATTAATATCTTTGCAACTTTAAGAAAGTGTCAAAAAGAAGAGCAATTAATCAGAAAGGTGATAAAAAGTTTAGTCAATGAAATGTATGGGACCAATTTGACCATATACAAAAGAAAAAAAAAATTATAATAATAAATAATTAAAGGAGTTTCTAAATTGGCTAATGGCTTCAATTGCCATAGTTTGAAATTGTAAACCTATTAGGTGAATCTATTCATTGATTAAAATTAAATTACACAAATGTAGACTCTAAAATTACTTTATTGGCTAATTCTTATGAATCATAGGCCTATAAATTAAATACATATTCTATAAATTCATGCTTTTAAAATGATTTTCGGTAAGTCACATTATATCTACTCAATTATGCTTGGATTGGTTAACGATAAGAACAAGCCCTAATACGCTTTAAATACATATTCTAATACGTTTTAGAATTTGTTTATTAAGTGAATAAACTTTAAAAAATGTCTAATACTCTTTTAAACGTTCAATTTTTTTCCTCGTAGGTCGTTTAATTTTGTAAATTGCCTCATAATAAAATATCTATAAGACACAAAATTGAAAATTAGATGACTTATTAGATATAAAATTGAAAACTCATAAATTTGTTAGATATTTTTAAAAAACTATATAAATGTAATTTGAAAGTATATCGGCCTTTTTATCAACTTTTTAAAGTACAAAAAATAAACATTTTGTGTCTTGTTTCTCATATAATATTTTTAAATAAAAATAGTAACAAAATTGCATGTAGTAATTATTTGTGGTTTTTTGTTATAAATATATTTGATAACCATTTTTTTAATACATCAAATTGGAGTTCCAACTTTAAGGAAAGGATTAGATGCGAATTATCCTTGACCTATGCTGGATGTTCAGTAACCGTATCTTATTTATAGTTCTCTAGAATTTTAAAATTAAAGAGCAACTTTTGTATGTAAAAATTAAAATTAAATTTTTTTTATATTTCTTATGCATTTTATATGTCACTGTCAATGATACTTTTATTTATGTTTTTTTTCAGAACCCTTTTATATGTTTGGAAGAAACAAAAAAACAAGAAATTTGAGGGTATATTAAAAACATTTCTTAAATTTGAGAAAGGAAAAAAAGGAACAATTACCAAACCACATGTTTATATTTAAAAAAAAAAAATACTAGAAACGAGAAACAAAAAACGAAAAACGGAAACATTAGAGTTCGTCTACCTATTTTTAGGCTGGAGTGGGGAGCATCTGCTACCAATAGGTGGGGCCCATAGCGTGTAGTTTTTGTTTTAATTTTGTTTTTATTATTAATTACATGTAGTTTCAACTTTTAAGAAAATCTTCGACTTTGGAAATCGTCACTCATTTTCCATGACACTGACTATGCAAATAACCTGGGCCCCACTTTCGCCTCCTAACACTAACGTCCGTAACAACAAAAATTAAAGAAAAAAACAAAATAATTTTTCCTTTAATTATTATTATTTCATGTACCTCTTAATTGGTCCCATTCATTTTATTTTATTTCATTTCATTTTAATTTCCAACCCACACTTTTCAAATATTTGTTTATTTTCTTCACCATCAAAATTACATTTTAAGCCATTCAAGATTTTTTTTCTTTGTTCAGATTCAGAAAATTTTCATTTCAACTCAGTTTAAGTGATAATTTACCCAGAAATAAAAACAATTTACATTACCATTTTTAATAATCTAATACGTTTGAGTATGTTTAAAGTTCAATCTCCCGCTCCATAATTATTACATTTTTTCTTCTTCATTTTAGATTCCTACTTAAATCTCTAGTTATTTTAATTATAACATACTAAAACAACATAATTGATTACAGATATATAATTGCTATTCTTTTTGTTTTTCATCTTTATAATAACATTTTATAAAAGTAGGATGGTGACTTAAATATTAGCTATAAAAAATTGATTACTAATAATTTAACTAGTTGAGTAAAGTTTTGATTAAAAAAAAATCAAATACATGTTTGGTTACTTTTCAAATTTTTTATATATAATTTTATAGTTGATATGAAAATTTTTAATCATGCAGTACCTATTTCATTTCTTTAATATAGTAATTAGTAGTCGAAATTTCAATTCTGATTGAGAGATGTAGGTGTTTAAACTAGTTGAATTATGTTGAAATTGGGGAGTACATATTTCTTTTACCTACGTGGTATATGATGTTATTTAAACTAGAAAATCCAAAATTTTAATTTTGAAAGATGAAATTGAAGTGTGAAAAAAAGAAAGAGAGAAAAAAAGAGTAGAATTTCGTTGAAAATAAGATTGGAGGAGCATCAAAGTTCTGCAAAAGAGAAGTTTGGCAGAGGGAGCAATGAAGTTTCAGTGCCATAAGAAGTGACAGTGGGACAGAGGATCAACCAATGGAAACCAAATGTACAAAAATGGGATCCCATTTGTGTAATTTTGGATTACCCAGAAGGGCATTTTCCTACAACATCCTAATCCTCATTCTTTCCGTAGTACACATTGGACCCACATCCACACCATATATGCCAATTAACAACTTGAAAAATGGAAACTTTTCTTGATTACTTCTTCCATTTAATTATTCAACAAGATTAGAAACCCAACAACTGTAATTTAGGGAGGAAGATTTCGAGCATTTTTTCCCTTTTTTTTTTGTTTGTCTCAAATTCTTTAATTCTCTGTTCCTCTTCCTAAAGCAAGGTGGAGAGAATCTAGAAAAATGCCCATTTCTTTCCTTCTTTTTGATTTCCCCTAAAACCCAGATGGAAGAAACGATTTCAAATAGAAAAAAAGAAGAAAAGAGAGAGAGAATAAAGTGAGTGTGAGACCGGATATTGACAAATTTCGGGTCACTTCCTTAGAAGAAGTTCGCTTGTTGTTTAATTTGTATGGAGATTTCTTATCTAGGATCTCTCTCTGAAAACAAAGAGAGCTCTATCTTTTCATCTCTCTCTAAGACTTTGCTGTTTCGTTTCCCAGAGCGAGAGTGGCCCAGCAGATCGAAATCTATGCCTTTTTTCTTCAACCCCATGACGATCTAAAACCCCCCTTTCATGGCCTCCCAAAACTCCCCTCTTCTTCTTCTTCTTCTTCTCATTGTCGATATGTATTGTATTGCTTCAGTTTTCCATTTCCCCCTTCTCTTATTGTCTTTGACGGTGGGAGTGCGATGAGATTCTGAATTGCTGCGATTGTACGATGTTCGGTTGAGGTAATTCCCGTTTCCTCTTTTACCTGATAATTTGATTTCTGGGTGCCTTTGATTTGATCGGTTGATTGCTTTGGTTTAACATTGTGATTGAATTTTGCCCACTTTTTGGCTTGGGAAATTGTTGGGTGTTTGTTGTGGCCTCCATGATTGGCTTTATGGCTTCGTCATGCATTTGCTTTTGCTTTTACACTGAATTCTTGGATTGTGATGATGGGAATGGAGACTTTGATTGGTGATTTTTGGCCAGTATTTTGTATGCTCTGTTGTATTGACTTTTGTAGACTTGTGTCTTTGTCTTACTTTTCAAACTAGAGTTTTGAAACCCAAAACTCTTCTGCTTTTGGGAATCCTGGAATTCTTGATCTTCAGCTCATATTTTGAAAAATCCACCCTATTTGTTCTTTGCATCAGACAAAAGCTTGAACAGATTGGACTGCTTTGTCTATGCTCTTATTTGTTGGGTTTTATGAACCAGTTCCCTTATTCTTTTTGCCTTTCTAATTTCCACTAATCTGGGCATTTTGCACCTTTCATCCATTTTATGTTAATGAAATTATCCTTTCTTTTGAACTTGTGATCAGGTAGTGTTTGTCGGAGTTTATCGTCCAGTTCACGATGATCCTCTTTTATTTGAATTGCCATTTCTTTAATCTCACTAGTCACAGTGCTGATGTTATTACTCTCTTTCTTCGGTTCAAGTGTATGAATTATGATGGAGTTTGATAACTGTACTTGCTTGTTCTATTTCATACAAATCATTTTTGTGTGTTTCTGTGAAGGCCTATGGTTGTGAACTTGGGGGTCTGTATGATAAGCTATCATTTGCTTTCTTGCATTCTCACGTGACTAGTTTTCTGAGCTTTCTCACATTTGGAATGTGTATTCTTCTTTACGACTTAGTTCGGAAAAAGAATCTACTTCATCAATAAAACAATCATTTTCCTTGCGACGGTGGTCGGAGGAGGGGATTGTTCTGTTAGAATGTATCTACTCTTCCTGCCCCTTGACTTATATACTGTATTTGGTTCGTGAGTTTACGATTTGTAAAGAATGGTATATAACATAAAACTTGAGTTTCATCGTTTTTTGTGCTAATTCACTTTGTATAAAAAAAAACTATTGAGAGGGGTTAAATCTCCATTAAACCCAAAAACTTAAGCGGATGGGTTAGAGCGAATTTAAATCATTTATCAATATTTTAACACTGTCTCTCACGTGTGAGCTTTGAAATTTGCACAAGACCCAATAAGTGATTATCAATATTAACAACAGAGGTTCAAACACAAGACCTCTTACTCTAATACCATGTAAAATCACCATTAGATCCAAAAGCTTAAACTGATGAGTTACGACAAATTTATCATATAGAAAACGAAGGGAATATCCAATTCTAAGAATTTTGATACATCAAATGTCTTTGATTTTCAGGGAATGGGGACTAAAGTGCAATGCAAAAGTTCGTTGCCAGGATTCCACCCAATGAGGGAACTTAGCAATGATTCTAATAGTCATAGTTGGCACCTATTTTATGGTGAAAGAACATTTACAAATTCACAATATCACAATGTGTTCTTGCCAAGGGCAAGTGCAAATGGATATCTAGGTGATGATAAGGATGTGGTGAAGCAGAAAATGCTTGAACATGAGGCCATATTTAAGAATCAGGTACACTTTATTTTTCTTTCTTCACCTTTGCTGTTTGGTCCCCAAACTCTTCATAGAATTTCCTTCATTTAAATCTTCAATATGCTTGAGTTTAGTTTCTAATGAAATCTGGGGTCTAGCTAAAGTTGATGTTTTCCCCTCTTTTCAAATGTATCTGTTTAAGCTATAACCTGGATATTATTTCTTCTGCTGAACCACAGGTGTTTGAACTACATCGCCTATACAGAATACAAAGAGATCTTATGGATAAAATAAAATCTACAGAACTTGGAAGGAATCAGTTGCCTGCAGATTCATTGTTTTCGTCAAGCCCGTTAGCATCTCACGTTACTTCTGAGGATGCTTCCAGACGAAATCTGCCATGTTTTCCTGTGGCAAATTCGTCTAGTGTCAGGCTTTCTTTTTCAGGTGTTGAAGAAGGTCGTTCTTCTTTGAAATCTGTAAAGGGAAATAGCCAAAAACCTTGTTTCTTTCCACCACAAAATGAAAGTACCATGAAGGAATCGCAGACTCTTGAGTCGAAACCAAGAAAACTCAGGAGAAAAATGTTGGATCTTCAGCTTCCTGCTGACGAGTACATTGATAGTGAAGATGGGGAACAGTTCAGCGATGGAAATGTACCCGACACATTGAGTCATAATCACATAAAGAGTCAAAAGATTGAGCTTGAGAAAGATGTTAAATTATATGCTGATGACGGTGAGAAGACAGGTTGCCCGCAAAATGCTCGTAAATCGGGCGTGAGTTGTTTAACTGACTTAAACGAGCCCATTCAAATTGTAGAAACCAATACTTCACCTTATGTTGATCCATCTTCAGGGCCAAAGTCAGGTCCTATAGATTTGCAGAGGAAAAGTTCTATAAGTACTGATAATGTGACAGGAAGTAATCTGCATCCGGATAACAACACTAGTAGAGGAGGAATTTTACCCCATTTTCTTGTATCAGGTAGCTTTTCTTGACTGGTTTGCATAAACCTTTTCTATGATTTGCTTTTCATTTCTCCTTTATGCTAATATTCTTCTATTTTGTCACAGGGCATAGTTACAGCCACAAGAATTTTTTTTCTCAAGGACTCCAAACTAAAATGTGGCCTGTTTCTTCTCAGCCAATGCCAAGTTTTCTCAGTGAAATTCATGAAGCTCCACCTTTTCACTCAACAGATAAAGTTAGAGAAGAACAGTCGAGAGAGGGGTCGGTTTGTGGTTTGAAGTTTGCCAAAAGAAGTCACGAGATCAATGGTGAACTGCCATGCTCTTTCGTGCCTTCTCATATGTCTGCACCGCATCTAGCTGCTCCCGATTTTAGTAAATCCTGGTCTAACTCCAATTCTTCTTGGGAAAGTGCAACTACTAACTTCCAGAAGTTAACATCAGCACAAACTCAGCAATGTTTGAATTTGGCAACCACCACGCACATGAGTTCTCATTCATCATTTCATGGTATGGAGAGTGTCAGAGAAAGGTGGCTTCTTAGTAATGGCTCCCGACTTAATAAAGGTTCCGATAGCGGGTTATCTTACCATAAAAGGGCATTTCTTGGGTCTCCATCGGAGTACAAGGAAGAAGCATGGCACCCCGCTTCTATCAGTTACAACTATTGGAAGCAGGGTAATGAAAACAATCAAGCTCTCCTCGAGGATTCAAATTCTATGGACATGAATTGTCAAAAAGAGGGAAATTTTAACATGGTGTTTTCAAACAGTTCATCCAGTCTATCAGAACGGAAGGCTGGAGAAACTTGTGCATTGTTACCTTGGCTCAGAGGTACAATTGGTGAAAACACTGAAACTACTAATTCAGGGAGGTTCTCAAGTGCTGAGGAGCTTAGCTATGTTAGATCTTCAATAAATTCTTTGCCTGGTAAAAATTATCATTCATTTCACAATGGCATTTTCAACAAAGAGTTTGAATCCGACAGGTCTCCAAAGAGTAAAAAACTTCTTACACTACCAATTTGTGAAGGAATAATGGATTCTAAGAGAGCGGCGTCTTCTCTTGCTCAACCCTCGGTGCCATCTGAAATTGAAGAAAGCAGGGACAAGAGAGTTTTTGATATCAACTTGCCCTGTGAGGATCCTTTGGTTGCTGAACCAGACAAGCACCTTGTGGCTAACAAGCTACACTCACAGGAACTGAGAGAAAGAAAAGTTTCCAGTATTGGACTTATTGATTTGAACTTGAGTCTAAGTGACGATGAAGTGTCTTTGAGATCGACTCCTAAAATGACTGTCAAAAGGTGGAGAGAGATTGATTTAGAAGCCCCTGCAATTTCTGACACTGAGGATATTGCTCCTCCTGAAGAAATTATAGAAATTAAGCATGAATTAGCTTCAAAACCACAATGCAAAGCCATAAGCCAACAGGAAAAACTCATGGAGTTAGCAGCAGAGGCAATAGTTTTCATTTCCTCATCTGTTTGTCACAGCTACTTGGAGGATGCAACCTGCAATGCAGCACAAGATTCTATGGACAATCCCCTTAATTGGTTAGTGGAGATGGCGTTCCTATGCGCAAATGATTGCGAAAGCGAGTGTCAAGCAGAATTGAGAGCCAAACCGAGTGGTGACCAAGTGGAATCTTCCTCAGAAGGGATGGACTCCTTTGAGTCCATGACATTGGGACTAATGGAAACAAATGTAGAAGAATATATGCCTAACTCCCTGGTTCCGGGGCATATAACAATGGAAGAAAAAGCAACAAATTTGGTGCAAAGCCGTTCTCGAAAAGTCCAAGCTAGGAGAGGCAGGCAACGGAGGGACTTCCAAAGGGACATTCTTCCTGGACTTTCTTCTCTATCAAGACAAGAAGTTACAGAAGATCTTAATACATTTGGAGGACTAATGCGGGCAGCGGGTCATGCGTGGAATTCAGGCTTGACCAAGAGGAACTCATCGAGAAATGCTGCCTGTGGCCGGGGAAGGCGGCGATCTGTGGCTAGCCCCTCTCCGCAGCCCACTGAGAATCTTCCACTGCTGCATCAGTCTAGTAATCCTGAGATTGGACTTGACAACAAGAGCTTAACAGGGTGGGGGAAGACGACTAGACGGCCCCGCCGACAAAGAGTCCCGGCTGGTAATCTTGCAGCTATTGCTTTAGTTTAGACATGGTGTTAAAGAGAGTCATCAATTTATTGAATGGACTGTCAAATTTTCCATTGTACATTTTTTAGCTTAAATCCTTGGCCTCACATGTTTATCTCTGTTGTTTGCCAACTCTATACCATATCATAAGATAATAGCAGTATGTTATTTCTTCAACAGATATAGCAGAAACATTACAATTGGATAGTTTTACCAATGTATATCTCTTGCTTAGATTACACTGATGAATCTACTGGTGTCAAATTCTTCCCCCCTCCTAACTGGGCTTTTTTTTCTTTCTTTATTATTTGATCTTATTAGATATATAGATGTTGGGAGTGAGAGTTCAGAACTTGTTGCAATGACTTTCTTATTAGATCTCTATACTAATGAATCAAGGGCTTGCTTGATCTTTTTTTTAATGTTATATTGAATATTTACAGTCGATTCTTTTACATCTCCTTTACACAAACTAAGTTTAAGCAGATTTGCTGGCTCTCTGATGAGAGTGATAGAAGCTCTGTCTTGATCAATGAAGACGGATGGATATTGTGACTCGAGACGCAGCATCCCCAGACTCCCAATCTCCCATCCAGTATGAAATATGCTTGAGTTACTGAAAACTGCAAAAGGAGGGTGAAATTTCCCTCTCATTGTAGATTGAAGATGTTGATGATCTTCATAGTTCATTCTACAGCCTTTTTAATTCTTTTCAGTTTCAATCATGTTCTACTGTCATTTCACAGCAACATGTACTAAAGAAGATACTAAATTATAAGATAAGATGCCAAATCCTTGTATTCCGAATAAAAACTCATATCATACAATGAACAATGTACTTGTACATTATTAGCTTCTTCCTGAGAAGATCTCTGAAAATTATCTAAAAATCTATATATTTCCTTCATTTGTGAGTGCCAAGAATCTCCTGCTCCAAATCTGTAGGCTTTCTTACCAATCTCAATTAAACTGTATCCAGGAACCTTTCTTAGCCCTGTACCCTTCATCATCGACCTAACTTTCCCGAATTCATACCATTCTCCTCCTTCAGCATATATATTCGATAATAATGTATAATATCCAGTATCATCTGTCTGAATATTGCACAGTTTTCTTTGGATGTTCTTCACTATGTCCAGTCTCTGGTGGATTCGGCAGCCATTTAACAGAGCACCCCAGATGCCAGCATCTGCTGGAAATGGCATCGATTTGATTATTTCGTATGCTCCATTAAGGTCGCCTGCACGACTTAGAAGATCGATTATGCAAGCAAAGTGTTCTATTTTAGGCTCAATGCAGAAATCCCTCATTGAGCTGAAGAAAAGCATCCCTTCTTTTACACAACCAGCATGGCTAAATGCTGAAAGAACATTCATGACAGTAACATCATTTGGTTTTATTCCTGATTCAAGCATTTTTGAAAAGAGCAAGATAACCTCACTAATCTGACCATGCACCCCATAACTGGAAAGAAGAGTACTCCACGACACTAGACTCCTCTCTGACATACTATCGAAAACTTGCTGTGCCGTTTGGAGGTCTCCGCACTTTGCATACATGTCAACTAAAGCTGTTTCGATATAAAGGTCTTTTCTGAGACCACAGATAACAAGCTTGTGGTGGATCCATTTCCCTTTCTCTAGATAACCCAAATGGGAGCAGGCTTGAATCACGCTTAAGAAGGCAACTTCCCCAATCTCTTGACATGTCAAATACATCTGATCGAATAAAATGATTGCTTCAGCAGAGTTACCATTTTGGGAAAGCCCACAAATCATAGAATTCCAAGTCACTACCCCTTTTGGTTCCATATTATCAAATATCATGTATGCCAAATCCACAAAGCCACATTTCGAGTACATGTCGATTAGCGAGTTTAGAACGTACTCATCCATGAAAGGTCTCTTGATAACATGGCCATGTATTTGCAGTCCAAGCTGGAACATACCCTCATTTCCAGACGCAGAAAGAGAACTAGCCAGGCTGAATGAGTCAGGCATAAGCCCTTGGTTCTGCATCCTCACAAAGAGAACAAGTGCTTCCTTCAACAATCCCCTCTGAGCATAAACTGAAATGAGCATATTCCATGCTACAATCCCTCTTCCTCCAATTTCATGAAGAATCTTCTCACAGAGATCATATTTTTCAATGCTGGCATATAGTTCGAGTAAAGTTGGTCCTAGGCAATCAAGATTAGCGTCTAAATTGTTCTTTATGACAACGCAATGAACGGATTTCCCTTCTCTCAGAAAACCCAAATTAGCACAAGAGCGTAGAATAACCATCATAGTTACAGAGTTTGGTTCAACTTCAGTCTTTTGCATTGAAACAAACACAGCTAAAGCTTCCCGGAAACAATCACATTGGTTGTAGCTGGAGATCATTGCAGTCCAAGAAGAAGTACTATGGTGAGTAACATTCTTAAAGATAATCTCCGCACTGCGTAAGCTGCCACATTTAGAATACATAAAAATCAACGAACTGGCCAAAGATCTATCATTTTCGATCCCCCTTCTCAAGATATAGCCATGAGAAGACTTTGCCAGCCTCAGAATCCCCAATTCACCACAAGCCTCGGCCACAGTGAGTATTATAACCGAATCCGGCTCCACACCTTCAGAAATCATAGTACGAAAAGTCTCCAGACCTTCATTTATCTCTCCATTTTCAACACTACTCGAAATGATCGAGCTCCAAGAAACCAAATCTCTCAGCGGCATTTCATCAAACACCCTCCAAGCACTCTCTAAGTAGCCCAACTCGCCATACATACTCAGTAAAGAGGTGTCCACAACAGGATCCATGTGAAACCCAGATTTAATAATCCTCCCATGGACCCTTTCGCCCACACCCAGATCAGAAAACCCAGAAGAAGCCCTCAAAATAGACGGAAATATATAGCCATTGAACTGAATTTGGTGGCACAGCATTTGGTGATACAGAGAAATGGCTTCCGCATAGAAGCCGCTCCAGACATGGGACTTAATTAGGACACCCCACATGAAGGAATCGGGAGAGGGGAAGGTCTGAAAGACGGATCGCGAAGCTTGGAGGTCGCCCATTTGGGAATATGACTCGATGAGCTTTGTGGAAGCGAGTGGATCTTTGTGAAGGGCAGTGACGAGGAGGTGGGCATGGAGCTGAGCGAGCGTTCTGAAGGTGGTGGCGCTCTTAAACAGAGGCATGTAAAGGGTCATTTTGCAGAAACCGCTCTTCTTCTCCTTCTTCTCTTCTTCTCTGTTTCGAAACTTGGAACTCAGATAAACAGCCGCGCGCGCTAAATGGGATTTTTCATTTTATAGTTTCTTAATTTTGAAAACATCATCGTAAATTTAGTATTTTTTGGTGCATCACACGTAGAGATAAAGAATTTTTCGTGTTTTTTTTTTTTTAATTTGGGCGTCTTCAGACTAGTTTGGGTATATCTTAACAAATTTTAGGAGACACAATGGATCGTGAAATTTGAACATATACCTTCTAAATTCTCTTTTGATTTAACGTGGAGATAAAGATTGATCATCCGACTTCTAAAAAGTTATTAGGTTTATTTTGTTCTTAATAAATGAATAAAGTTGTTTCTGAATTAACATGTTTGACAGAGATATTTATTGAAGTCACATGTACATTTTAGTTAAGAGAAGTATTTTTTTACTAGAACAAAATGTATGGTGGGAATTCAAACACATGATCTTTTGATCATATATATATCTTAACTAATTAAACTATGCAATCGCTGACAACTAAAGATTTGGTATGAGAACTGAAAATTAAAATATTACTTTTTTTAAAGTATAGAAACTAAAAGTTAAAAGATTAAAAGGGTTATTTTTCATTCTTAGTAAAATTTTAAGTTTTTTTTGTTCAACAATATATAAGGTGGAGATTCGAACTCAAAATTTTTAAATGGCAAATATATAGTTAATGAGTTGGTTATGTTGGTTAAAGTTTTGACAAATATATAGGAGAGAGAAATATATATATATAAAAAGACATTTTACCTATTTTATTTTTCTTAAAAAATAATATACTTAGTAAATACTAATGGATCAAAACTCATTTTTTATTGGCCAAAAGTTTTGACAGACAAAGAAGAAAAAAGCAACTATATATGTAGAAATCATGGACAATCTTCCTTTGTATTTATTTATTTATAAGTTTTTAACTTTTGGAAGATTTTCTTTTAATGGAAAAAGTTACTTTAATTTCATCGATACAAACAATTATATGTGTTTTCAATAAAACTTTAAAGACAGCCCTTTTAATATATGCAAAGTTACTTTCACCTTCTTTCCTAAAACAAACATTAAATATATGAATAAGTTATTCACTTCACATTTTAAAATAAGATTTAATAACAAAAGTTACATTGAATTTAAGTTTAAATTTTATTTGGATACTCATCAAGAGTTCTAAATATTATCAACACACAGAAAAAGCATTATTAGGATGTTAATTATTTCGATTCTTGTTCTAGTTGTTTAGATTTTTTTGTTTCAAAAATATTTTGTATTTTCAAATCAAAGAAATAATTAAATATACGGACAATCACAACTTAATTATCTCGTTTGCATGTACACAAATTTCTTAGTTGGATAATTGATGATATCACACAAAAGAGACTCATTTAGTCAACGTTTATGTTTCTTATTTATTTATTTATTTTTATTTTCCTAAAAAATAGAACTGCTTTGATAATTGTTTTTAACATATTTGGTACGACCATTTATTGTTCTTATTCTCTACAATTTTAGATTACTAAGTTCTATAGAAAATTCAACACTTTTATGTTATATTTACATTTTTTTATATATATTATGCATTTAAAAAAGTCTGTACTTATCTATGTTTTGGAAAAAAAAAATTGGAAACTTGAACAAGAATAATCAAGTAACTTAATTTGTTATTTCCAAAATATCTACACAATTTTAAAAATTTAAAATGAGAAATGAGAGAGAAATAAGAACAATTATCAAACGTTTATGTTTTTCAAACATTAGAAACAGAAAATAAAAAACAAAAACATTATCATTGTTTCAACAGAGTCCCACATGTTATACTCTAATAATACTTATACTATACCCAAAATCACCCTATACAATTTACTCTTCTTGGTCTCTATAATATGTCCCTTGTGCTAGAGCTACCCTTTTACTATCTATTATATTATTCATGTGAGTTCAACATTATAATACATATTTTTTTTTTCAAACAACGCCTTAATTAAGATATTTTCATAGTCGTCATTTTTCAATAGTTATAATATAATGCATGTAGTGTAGAAATTTAAAGTCAACCTGAACATAATTTAACTAGAGATATATACCCATCGATCCAAAAGTTAGACGTTCGAATTCTCACATGTTGTTGAAGGAAAAAAAAAACTTATTTATGGTAATAAATAAAAAATAAACAACAATAATTTATATACAGATAAACCTAATTCAAAATTTAGAGAACCATATAATCAAAACACAAGAGAAAGAGGAAAGGCGTACCCGTGAATAAAATGGAAATAGTGGCTGAGTGGGGTACCGTAAGGTTGAAGAGAGAGAGAGAGATGACGTGGCACATTTTTATTGGTACAAAATTTTAACAAGATCAAAATTTAAGACCAAAAATTGAATTTTGATCTTATAAAAAGATAATTAGTGTCTTATTGACTGAAGTAGGTATTACACTTTTTCGTTGGAGGGTGTAGAAAGAATAGAATATGACCCTGATTGTTTTTTTCGGATCACTTTATGAGATTTTTTTGCTTCGTCCTCATGCTATAATTCGAGAGCGAACTGTTGAGAGCTTTCGAGGGAACCTCAGGTCTCATTAGGTCGGCTAGCGTAAGTGAGTCTTCTTCGACTTGACAAATTCACTCATAATAATATACCAGTAAAATATGTCTAAACTTCGATTGACAAGTGTGTAGACAAGTATTACTGTACGGGAGCGGGAATTAGGGCTTCTTTCTCATTGCAGCTTTGGGGGTTTCTGTTTCCTTCCATTTCCACTTCCACTCTTCCAGTTAACAGAACAGAAAGCTGTAAACTTGGCTTCTTTTCTTTTTCTTTTCCCTTTTTCTTTTGAATAGAAACCCACACACTTTTCTTAAAGAAAAAACTGACATTATTGTTTTTTTTTTTTTTTAAAATGTTTTTGCTGTCACTGCCCACTCTCTCTCTCTTTTCCTTTTTATGACTCTGAAAAATAGTGCAGGTTGCAATTGCATGGCCTAAAGAAGAAGAAATCTCAAGAGGCTGTGGTTGGGGGAAAAATTCTGGCAGTAGACTCCTTTCACACACTATTAATTTTCCTTCCTAAACAGTTTTCTAATGTTTGTAGTAGATCGGACGCCATTCTTAAATAATGCTAATGAGAAAAACAATGAATAAGCTATCAAAATATAAGAAATTTTTTCTCGTGTGGGTATACATTTATTGTTAATCATGTCTGTATTATTAAGAGTCATCGGTGTTAAAAAACTAATAATGTGAACGGAAGAAATAGATACGGAAACTGTTAGATAAATTTTATGTGTGGTTTGCAGTTAAAGCTGTTAGAATTGATGGGTTTTGTGTGAGTTTGAAAGTGCTTTTAATAAAATCAGAAGCTGTTTTTGATGATTTTTCTGATCAGAAACCGCCACCAATATGATTTCTGCAGGAAATTAAACGGAGTTTTGATTTGATATGTCACCTCCACCCACTCACTTTTACAAAGAAAACCTATCACATATCAGGAGGAAGGAAAAAAAAAAACAAATTCAGAAATTCTTTTCACCTTTTTCTCTTAACATCATTAATTTCTCCGTTTTTCATTTACGTAGAAAAGTAACTTTAGAATTCCTATTAATTTAATAGATAATATATTATCGTCTCGAAATTGATGCTTCAATTCTCATCTCATAATTATTTAACTAAAAATCAAAGTTAAACAACACTTTCATTGATCTGTCCGAACTTTTTCTAACAATTTAGTCTTGTAATTTCAAATTTGTAACAATTTAACCTCTATATAATTTAGAATTTATAATAATTAATTCAGTCCCTAAAAATACCATCAAAGTTAAAATGTCTTTTTTTTTTTGAAATAGAGCAAGCTTACGAAAACTTACTCAAGTTGACTATTCAACTCCCCTGGCCAATCCTCAATTCTCAAAGTTAAAAGTGTTGATTTTTATATATAACGATTAAACATTATTAAATCTTAAAAAGTTAAAAGGTTCTTAAAAAAAAAAAGCCAATAAATTTCATTGAAACAGAAAATTAGAAACAAGGAAGCAACTATGGTACAATTTGAGAGTAATATTTCTAAATTAAAAAAAAATAGTAAATTGCACAATATCCCTAAGCAGACGATAAATATTCTTCTCTCTGCTTTCTAAACTACCTAATCTGATAAAAAAGCAATCTTCAACAAAACCTAAAGCACAGAACAGAAGAGAAGATTAAAAGAAGCATTTCACATGAATTTATTTATACCGCACCCATCAACTTTTTAGCCGTGATATTTCAATCTGATCAGCATAGTTCAACCTAAATTTAACCTCCATAAAATAGAAATTTCCTTCCTTCAATACAAATTTTTGTCATAAAACAGTGCCAATTAAACACATTTAAAATTCAATTAATCCATATATATATATATACATGGTAGTGGTAGGTACACACCAATGTGAGTTAAATCTAGAACAAGTCAAAAGAAAATTGGTAGAGACAGCCGACACAGCCTTTCTGATAATTTTTGTACAAATTCAAGCATGCATAAATGACTACATCAAGATCTCCCACTTGGCTTTTTCAGCCCCTAAATAATGAGAACATAAAAATAATTTGCAATTGAAAAAGAGGAAAAAAAGGGGTTAAATTACAAGTTTCCTCTGTGTCTATCTAAATGTAGTTTAAACTTGTTTTAATGACTCCTTAAACTTTCAAGTTTTCATATAATCGTGAAATCGTGAAATTAATGGAGTTAATAGAGACCTATTTTGGACTAAAAAATGAAAGGTTAAAGGACTGTTTAAAATCTTGTTAAACTACTCGAATTAGATAGACACAATCTTACGCGTTAAAGAAGTTTAGAAATCGAAGCTGGAAATTCAAAAAGTTAGTGCAGGATTTCCATACCACGATGGTTTTTTGATGGGCCGTGGTTATGTTTTTCTGCGCATGCCGGGGGGCACAATGTCGCCAAGTAAGCCTTGGTCCGAACCAAGTTGCAGTGAATTTGTTGAGTCTTGTTCCTCCGTAGGTTCAGGCGGAGGCGGCGGCGGCAAGTGGTGGGTATTGGGAGGAGGAGGAGGAGGAGGAGGAGTTGTAGGCGGCGGCTGAACTTCAGGGTAATAAAACTGCGGAATATGAGGAGAAAATTGAGACCCGAAAACAGCTTCCTGCGCCGAGTTGAGCCCACCTCGTGGGAATCCGACGGTGTGGTGACAATGTTGGCCTTCGTAAGTTGTTATCACAACCGTCGGATCTTCTGATGACCGTTCTACCCTTTTCTTCACCGTGCATTTACTGTTTGTGCACCGGTAGTAACTCCTGCAATCGTAAAATAGTGTTACTTGGAGAAGATTCTTCTTTTTCTTTTTTTTTTTGGGGTTTTTTTTAACCTTAATCCCTAATTATATATACCTACATACATATTTTTTTAATGCGACAAAGGCAAGACACATCAATCCTTTATTTGTCTAGCCCTATTCCGTTTTTATGAGATACATGGATACGACCAATATAAATAGAATATTAAATATTGTATTTTTTCTCATGTGCATGAATATTCGATATCGACATGAGAGGTTAAATCTACCTTTCCAATATACTGAAGAAATCATTGAAACATAAAATAAATAGCTAAAAAAGCAGAATGTTTATTTATTAATTTAAATATTTTTTTTATGCATGTATTGATTTTATGATTTTTCTAAATATCTATAATTGAGATCGACAATTAAAAATTTACAACTAATTGTATGCATGTGAAAAAATAGTTAATATTCTATTAAATTTTGCAGTATTTTGATTTCTAGAGCTAGCTTACTAAAGTTTCTTAAATAGTAGTTGGAGTACCTGTGAAAAAATATCCTAGGGTTTCATTGAGCTATTAGGTCCGATCCAGAGGAAAGGGATTGTATTTGCATTTGTGAAATATCGTCATGGATAATGTTCCTAACACTAGACTAGCCACCTAAAAACACAGCTAAATTATAACTTCGTAACTCAGTCCCTCAAATCGTCATTGTTCTACCATATTAAATACATGATACGTTTTTTATTTAGATCACAATGAGCTAGTGTTTTCTATGTGATAAGACTGTTTTAGGGTTTAGGATCGAGTAAAAAATATGAGAAAATGAGTGGGTATTAGACAGGTAAACAATAGTTTTAAGGATGATAACCAGTGTTAACGGAATTAGAGAATTAGATTTTTTAAAAAAATTAGTCATAGCTAAAATGAGGAGTAGGATGATAGATTACCAACCTGGGGAATGGACTGTTCTTGACAGCCTTTTGGCCATATTTCCTCCAGCGGTAGCCGTCTTCAAGATGATCAACTTCGCTTTTGGTCATGAATGCAAACCGCGGCTGCCGGATCCGCTTTTGCCCCTTCTTTTTGACCTTCCGCCTACAAAATATTTCACCTACATTTATAAAGTAAAAGGCAAAATCTTGAAAATCAAAGCAATTTAATTATTTCAATATATATCTACAGAATTTCTTAAACTATACCCACATGGAATTATACCCCTAAACAAAAAAATAAATGCATCTTATACTTTTCAGTCTCTATATAACTGAATGACCACAGAACATTTATTAATGAATTAAGAGCCTACTTCAAAAGGGGTTAGGATTAGCAAATATAATATTAAATTAATAAATACTTTATCTAACCTAATGCATGGATTCAGAACTTCCACAACATCACATAATAGAAAACTGAAAAACTGACAAATTTCCATCAAATCTGTGGGCTAACGAAGAGGGGGGAAATGAGAAGGTTCAGCAAAAGAATTCTATATATGGAAAGATATTGAGACAAATAATTGAGCTAGCTAACTATTTAATTAATTGAGGGACTTAAAACAACAAATTATAGTTATATATATATATATATATATAATATATATTAAATAAAGACCCAAGGTACATTGCATTAAGCAGAAAATAACACGAAAGAAACTAATTAATTGCTTGTGATGTTAATTAGACAAGGGCAAACGATCAATCATTTCAAGGCCGGGAAACAACAAAGAATTAGGTAACGACAGACTCATATGGACCAGAAAAAAAAATTAAAATCAAAACAAGATATATAAATATATATTTTTTCTCAAGTAATATCAAATCAAGTACATGCAGTAAAAAAAATTACAGATGAATAAACCCAAACTAAAGTACACCATTTTAAATATACACGTAACAATATTCCAAGAACGAGTAACGCCAACCACCCAAATTTTTAAGCAATAATAATGTATTGTTCAACAGAATTATTCTCTCTTAAATTTGATTCAGAATATATATAAAAAGAGAGAGAAAAAAAGAGCTCTGAATGTAGACGTAGGCTCAGAGTTTAATACGTATATATATTTAATTTTTTTCAAGGGCTTAAATTTTAGGATCTTCGTATAATTTTAATGGAAATATTTACAAGGAGGAGGAATGGCATTCGCGCCGCAATAACGGCGGTGTTGAAGGGCTTGTTAATAAAAATTGCAAAATGACCCCTATATTTTAATTGCATTCACATCCTTGGGCCCCTGCTTTCTCCGAATTTACGAAACTACCTCCCCAACTTGCAGGATGGTTCTAGTTCTAGCTAGAGTACTTGCACTCTCCCCAAATTGGAACTGTTTTTTGTTTCAATCGAAACCAAAATAGCAAAGAAAAAACTAGAACCGCCAGAATTGGAATACGGTTCTTCCGATTATTTGTACCAATTGGAACCTGTTTTTAAAAGCAGAAGTTAACAAAAATCGTCATTAAAGAAGATCAATAACAGAAAATACGAAGAAGATC